AACCCATTTTCAACATATTTTCTAATATACTAAATTCATTATAAAATATATTTCATTCTATTATCAGCTCGGTGAAGGTCGATTTAGGTTCGGATCTTAGACTAGTAGTAATTGCAGATGTATCTTCTGATTCATTTACGTTCAGGCTGGTGTTTCCCAGGGTTCAATAGACAACCTCCTCGTAATGCCGAACTGCTCAATCTACAAGTTTGTATTCATAGTAGACTTAATACTACCAAACTATCAAATATTTCAAGAAGTCTTTCGAAACCTGTAGGAATTCATTTGGTGAATTGAATCATTAAACTGTAATATTTATTGACTAGGCTTCAAACTGGAACAGCATTTCAACCCGAAATTCAACCTTATAGTTCCATGTCATAAATTAGTATGAAACTTCAGCTACTGGTTCATATATAACGACAATATTCAGTTCGAAAAGTTTTTAAAATGAATTTAAAAAATTGCTACGATTGCTATGATTTGAGCTATTTCGCTCGAAACGTTTTCACATCAATATGCTATCAAATAAGGATCCAATTCTTTTGATTTCAGACTTGATTTTTTGAGGAAAAGGGACATGATTATCTACTTTTTAGTTTTTTAACTATAACTAAAACTTTAGATATTCTAGAAATCATTTTGGGATAAATGAGTTCAGCCACAGTCCACTAAACTAACTTACACTTCAGAAATAATTGATCTTTGAGTTTTTGCAATTGTTTTTCCGTGTGGGACTTTTATTGGCATTTCAATAGGAAATTCAATTTCCTATACACGATCTCTCCACATCTTTTTGATAATGAACAAATTCAATCATTAAAAATAGGTAGAATGAAAGTATTTCCCGTACTCATGATCTTCTCAAAGTATGCATGTTCATTAATGAGAGTAAACTAAGCAATCTCTACAAATTAATAACGTCTCTTCAAATAAACGTCATTTAATTTTTGTTTCTTTTATACCTAGTTTCTAAATTCATGATTTTCTGTCTAAATATGTCATTAAAATATCCTACTTGGGATAAATAACGTATGCAACAAAAGTCACAATCAGTGACAGGGAATGGTGGATTATGTGAATAATAGAATGGTCTGAAATATTACAAAAAAAATACTGTAGAGCCCAACATCTTAGAAAATCATTAGAGTTGAAAACTTTGATTTTGAAATCTCAAATTTTCAGCTCACAGCTTTTACACTTGAAAAAACATGAAAGTCGACAGATATCTCATGTTCATAACATAACAACGAAACGTACGTGCTAATAGAATCATCACCACATTTCTTTAATTTTCACCGTATAGATTGCCGGTTCTTGTTGAGCCATTAAGTTATAATGACCGGAATAACTTCGAGAATTTTAGAATAATATAACAGGAATACCGTTCCACCTTTAGGCCACAGCAATATGTAATCTGTCGAGATACATATCTTTCTTAAAATAATAACACCAACTTGCTTGATGAATAACATACGTAGGCATATGAAAACAAAGCGGACAATAAAAAATGTATTATAAGTCTTTAGTCAAGAGCATTCAAATCGAAATTGAACTGACGGAATATTTTCGTGCTTATTACGGGTGGAATGTGAAAAGTTAGCATATCAAAAGAAACATATGTTGAAAGCCCAGTAGATTTTTGCAAAACCATAGAAACTACGATAAATTTGAGTTAACCTTTATGTTTGTTTGAATGTGGTTCTCGGTGAATGTTTATGGTTTGGATTTCCATTGTCTAAACACTAAAGTGTTAACAGACTTAAAATATGAGAGAATAAAAAATCAACTTAACCACCATCAATCTATCAGGAGATAAATCGTCAGGACCCTAATCGAGCGTGCATTCAGGCTTTGTAAAACGAAGGATAATCTTGACAAGAAACTAGGTCCTTTCAGGAGAGATCTCCAACAGAATCATTACTTGTTATGCACTGTTTGGAACTTTTGGTGTAGTACTGAATATTACTGGAGTTTTTCCCAACACTAAACCGTTATTTTAACACCTCGACACGTGTTTTGATCACCAAGTGATCATCTTCAAGAGAAAGATCAAACAGTTTGATCGTCCTCTTGAAGAATTTCAATTGGTGATCGAAACACGTGTCGAGATGTTAAAATAACAGTTTGGTGTTGGGAAAAAACTTAAGTTATATTCAGAATCATTACTGAATAATGCTACACAGAAGACAAAAAAAATCCTGAATCTGGAGTACCCAACGTTTCGTCTGCTACTGCGGAAGACATCATCATTGGTATGTGCGTTAACTGCGAGGAAGAAAGTTATATCTCGAAGTCTCAGCAACGACTGAGGTTACATCTCGAAGTCGTTGGTGAGACTTTGACATATAACTTTCGTTCCCGCAGTCAACTGATGATGTCTGCCGCAGTAGCAGATGAAACGTTTGATGTGTAATTAATTTACATTTCACTTATTTCTAATTCCATTTTAGTCGGAAAAATGGGTTTCGTTGCAAATTAGAGTTCTTCTGTTTTCGAGTTTTTTACTCACTTATTATTCATTCTCATTTTTTCACTATCTAACCTAATTTTTGGTCCTATTACTTTTCGTATTTTCATCAATTTCAATATTTCATTCTTTTTTTCTTCTCATATCTAGACAATGAATACCCCAAAAATCAACCCTTCATGAGTCCAGAAGAGTGTGCCATATAAGTAAACAACAGAACATACTACAAAACTATTTTTTTTGGACTCACCCAATACTTTTGCCGTCGCCTCCGATATTACAACGAACGAAAACAGGAGTAGAAGCAGCCCGAGCCGAAATTTTCCATGCCAGGCCATGGCCCTGTCACCCTGAAACAATGAAAATTATTTTAATATACATTGTAGAAAATATTTTTCATGGTTTGTCGAAAAAATCTCAAATAAAAGTAATAATTCGAAGTGTATAAGATATTCGTGTGTAAAAGATGCTCGTAAACAACTTATAACACGAATTTAAGCATGTTATTTGTCTGTAATTCTTAGGAATCGACAAATCTCTGCTTTTGGAGGTAAGAATGGTCCGCCTCTCGACAAACCAATCCGGAATCGGCTGCTCTCCGTCCAGCATTGAGTTGAAAACACTGGCCAGATGGCGGTGGGTACTTTGTAGTTTTTTCCACCAATAAGTGTTCATCTCATCTAGGCCTGGAGCAGCAAAGTTCTTGGAACCCACAAGGGCTCTTCGAACGTCATCCGGAGTTATCGGGTAGCGCAGTTCATTGAACTCAGGCTGTCGAAGCTTTCTGCTGAAAGCTTCGAACTACGCTAGGGCTGGAGTGTCTGAGTTGAATGGCTGCGGGTTTTCATAGATGTCCTTCCAGAAGGAGTTTACCTGATCAGTGATCGGCGGATTATCTACAACACGTGCAGGCTCTTGGAATAAGCGAGAAGGTTTCTCGCGGAACCTAAGGTTTTCCGCGATACTTCTCGCTCGTCCCACTAGTGACTTCTTAGCAGCCACTAGCATTCGTATCCTATCAAGGCAGTGCTGTTTGGTGGTCAGCAGCACTCCTTGACTTAAAGTGTAATGAATACGTCGTAGTTTGGCGGCTATGCGCCTCACTGCGCCTCACTGATAGCCTCCATGTATCCGTCGTTCAATCTTCCGAACCGCAAAGCCGAGATTTCATCCTTCCGATTCGGAAAGCCATTGGACGACGTTGTACATGGCGGTGTTGATTTGCCAGATGTCATCCTTTTCTGTTAGAACACGATGAACCTCTGCATCTAAACAAGCCAGTTCTTGTGGTTTCAGGGGCACAATTCTGTGGAGCGCATTGCGTATTCTGATTATTTCAATTGATGACATGATGCGAGTCTCCTCTCCAACCGTGCCAACGGGTGGTAGAACAGTAATTTCCATCCTTTGTTAGAACGCTGGGAAGGAGTTTCCACTCAAAGCCTCCGTTGTCATTTCTAGGGTTGTCATCTTGCTTCTGACCCCTCCGAGCGGGTCAATTGTAGGATCCCCTTCCTCTAATACCAGGAACCGTCTCCTGCCGAATGTGCTTGGGCTGCCAGAGTGGTTTTGCACCAGTTGCTCGGGTAAGTGGTGGCGCAACTCACCAAAGTACTCAGGTGTTAGTGCCCCCCCCCCCTGTTTACTTGGTTCGCTTAGCGGTGTCAAAGAGAGAGGTCGCTATATGTAAAGAGAACCTGCTCATCGATGTAATATTAGCATAACCTCTTTTTCGTCTAGAATGATTACCGCAAGACATTTGATATCGCATGATCTTGCAGTTACTTCTTCGGCATTCCTACGGTATTGACGGGACACCGATGTCTTCTTATGCACTCGGGGATATTTAAACCATTGTGACGAATAAGAAGTGTCGAATTTCTTGGAACTATTAACTTCAGGCTGATACAAGCTAATAAACTTATTTTTAGAATTCAATTGTAATGAAAACAGTTTGTTTATCAGCGTGAGTCTAAAAGAAATATGTTTCTTCTATTTCCGTAACTTTTTTCCTCGGAAATCACATTCCAATCGAATAAAGCTTCGAGAAAATAATAGATACAGTTTTGGAATGGAGCCTGTGAACATCTGTCAGATAATCGAATTGCGTTTAGTGTGTCAGTAATGTATCAGTCAAAAATTATAGTCAGCTAATAATTTTGTTGTTCACAAGGACAAAATCTAATAAATGTTTGGTGTATACATATATTTGAATAAAAGTGTAAAGAAGAAGAAAAGTACATCAAAATTTCATTAGTGGAAGAGAAAACTATTACTGGAGTTTTTTTCCAACACCAAACCTTTATTTTAACACCTCGACACGTGTTTCGATCAAGAGGTGATCATCTTCAAGAGGAAGATCAGACAGTTTAACCTTCCTCTTGAAGTTGATCACTTAGTGATCGAAACACGTGTCGAGGTGTTGAAATAACGGTTTGGTGTTGGGAAAAACTCCAATAATATTCGCTACAGTTAGATAGTTATATATTTTTCCATTCTAGAGATACTGTATTTCCTGATAGTAAAAAGTAATAAATGCTCATTATGATAAATTCAAAACGCTAACAGAGTGATCGAACAAAATTTCGTTATTTCTTTATGATAGCCACAGCTCTTATAAGCGGGTTTATAATACTTTACCGGGTCTATCCGATTTTTCTATCGCAAACGGCTCGCAAAATTTAATGAGCGTTCGGGTCGTTTTATATCAACAGTGGCGTTCGGTTGGTTATTTAACAACAACAGAAAAATAATGCTCCTGAAAAATAGGATTGGCAAAAAGATAACTAATTACTTAAAATCAATCAAAATGACTCAATTTTTTCTGTAGAAACGTATATTCTTCAAATCAATAATCAACTGAGGTAGGTATAACATATATCTACGAATTCTTTCAGGCGCATAAGTTTAAAAATCTGTCTTTCCGTCCACCAGCTGCCGCCTCCCTGCGAACAACAACCCTCAGAAGCCGAGACTTGTTGCGAGCCAATCGTTAGCGCAGTCTTACGTTTTATCATGCGGTTCCAACATTATGTTACACTAATTAATATTTCACAAAAGTTGAAACTCAAGCAAGAGCCATTTCACGAAAGAGTGACCTGGAGACAAATTTCACTCCTAAGTACATACGAGTATATTAGTCAAAAATAAAATGAATTTCATTAGAGCATTTTTTGTTCAGAACCGAGAATACCTACCTAAGTTTTTCATTTATGACGATTCTACCCTTGTGCGACGGTTAAAGCCGTTTCAGTCGGTTTTTGGGCGTAAAGGTAGAAATTCCCAAGTCAAATATAAAAGGAATGGTAATAAAGAAGCCGTCAGGCAGGTATATTGTCGTAATCTCTGGATTTTCTTGAATATGAATATCGTAAAATCTGTCTTTCCAAGAAACGCTATATTAATAAATAAACACAAATCCAAAAGATAGGTCTCGGAAAGCACTTAAGGTTAGAGTGATAAGGTAAATCTGAATGAGTTGTATACCATGTGGTACAAAATTTTTCGAGTTGTATTAAATTATATTCATTTATAAAAAAGGTGCTGAAAAGATTGTTTCACGAAGAAAAAATTGTGTATCGAGTTGAATCATGAAGTCATGGATAGGTGTAGCTGCTCTGGCAGATGATGATTCATAAAAAAATCGAATATACGCAATGCGGTGTTGCCACATGGTGTAAAATATTCTTGCAACAATGACACGAAATGAATTTCTGTTGAGGTTTTGGGGGTTTTGGCCTAATTTATGGTTCAGTAAGTACGTTGTCAATATAGTTAAGAAATTAAAACTAATTTGTGTACAGTCAACTTGCATCGTACAATGAAATTAAAAGATCAGAGTTACAATATCTGTGTAATATTAGCTGAAACACGTAAGAATTTCCCACAGTCTAAAAATGTTTCGAATTATTCACTATATCAATATTAGGTGGCTAAAACCTTCAAATATTCGTATATCTAGTAAATGTTACAATGTTTTCTTGTAATTTACAAAATTATATTGAAACATGGAGAGTAGCGAAAGTAGCGATTCCACATTGGATTTGAATCGCTGGAGACTAAATCCATTTGCAAAAACGTTCTCAGGAAGTTTATTCCACATAAATGCAGTTCTCCAGATGAAAGAGTTCTTAAACAGTGAAGTTCGAGGTATACTGAGTTGAACCTCAAAACTATGAGCAGCCACAGTCCGTCGAGTATTTTTGATATGTACCGCTCTTGGTAGAATCAAACGTGCCAAATCACTTGAATACTTCCCGTGAAATTATCTATAGAAGAGAAATACATCTTCAATCCTTATTCGATGTGCCAGGTTATCAAGGTTGCACGTAATGTTCGCGTCTACAATCAGGGGGATGGCTCTTTTCTGGATGGAATCCAGCAACTTCAGAGTATATTTGTGGGCAGAGCTCCATACATGAGAACAATACTCCAAAGAAGGTTTGATTTGAGCTTTATGAAGCATCAAAAGTTGCTGAGGTGTGTACAATTTTCTAATTCAGAACAGTGATCCAAGCTTTTAAGAAGGAGCCTTTGCCATTCCAGCGGCATGATTGTGCCAAAACGTATTGGTATCAATTTTCCCCCCAACAAACTCATCGAAGCAGAAAGCAGAATTGTCCGACCTGTTATTATTTTATCCGGTTCGGAGAGCTTTATCTTCTTGGAGAAAACCGATGCCTGGGTTTTTGTGGCATTGGTTTTTGTGGCATTGAATTGAACCTGGTTACTCTCACGCCAATTCGAAATCACTGCTAGATCCTCATTAAGATATCTGTCACTATTTATTTCAAATTGCT